CATTATTTTATATTGATTTCTTGCAATAATAAAAAGACCTTTGTTTATAAAAGAGTTGTTCTTGTAAAAAGATTGAAAAATATGAATATGATTAGAAATAATAGCTGCACAAGAAGGTGAAAACCATGGAGTAGAATGACTAAAAACCATGGAGTAGAATGACTAAAAAACTATGGAGTAGAATGACTAAAAACCATGGTGTAAAATGGAATTAATTTAAACAAGGTAAAAGGAATATAAAGAGAAATACAAAAGTTATGAGCTTTAGTGCTGGCAGGGTCAGTACTACTAAAGCTAAGCTATTCAGTGTGATGAGCATTATTTTCACCAATAACAATAATTTTCTTATCCCTGCTAAATAACTCAATGTTTTCTTGAAGGACTCTTTATGTGGTCTCAACATCGCTGGACCAACACTACTGGCAGATTCAGCATTGAGAATGAAGGGAGGGGGGGGGGTGCCATCTGTTTTCTAAGTCAGTCAACTGGCGCCCCCTAAAATATAAATTTCTTATTACAAAATTCTGCATTTATTTAAATGGAAATAGAAAACTAGGTAACAACAAACCATTGTTTACATACCTGTTTTACAAGTTTGCCCACAATTATGGCAGAAAACAAAACAGACATTTTGTTTTAAGAAAATATATCTTATAATCATAATGTGTACATTGTGATTATAAGATTCATTGGATTTTTTTATGAATATAACATTTAATGGATTTTAGCATAGTTTAGTGTATCAAAACAACTGTGATTTAAAAGAGAAAAACAAAAAGTTTAAAATTAACTGATTTAAACATTGTGGAGCAATTTAGAATTGTTTTTATATGTTAAAAACATTTTTGCATGATACCCCTCCCCAATTAAAACCTAATCGCGCTGGCCCTCTTTTAAAGATTTGTATGCATCAATATCTCCAGCAATGATGACTGAACTATAGATAAACAGCGTACACCCATTCTTAATAGAGAAATAGATGACATCATGTTTTCCTAACTTGTCTATATTCTACAAAACCAACTAACTCTTCCTTTTACATCTGTTTATGAGAGAAGTTTCAGTAGACTAAAGATAAAAAAATATCTGTGATCAACAATTACAAATGCATTTACATTAACTTTAATTGAATGTGAGCTTGCTGAGAATATTGACAATCATTTTGCTTCAACCCAGCGGGCACAGACATCCTTATGACGTCTATACAATGCTTTTAAGACAATGAAGGTTCTATTTACTCTAATTTACTCTCCTGCTAGTTTATAAAAAATTTTTTTATAAACTAGCAGGAGAGTAAATTTCATTCTTAATGCTTGCTTTCAGTAATATGTATTGTGCAAATATATCTTTTTGCAGATATATTTGCAAATATAAATTTTTTTTTAATGATAATTGTGAACCAAAATAAAATAAAATTGTTTAGTGTCTTTGACATACTTAATAGTTATGATAAAAGGCACATAAAAGCATTGATAAAATATATTTATCACAAGTGCAATTCACGAAAAATCATTTCTATGGGTAATGTACCACGAACTCTTTGGGTAACATTACCCTTATGGGTAATGTCACCCCCTATTCTTTCCCATCCCCCCCCCCACACACACACAATGCTAAACAATCTGCTACTGACTAACACTTGAATTTAATTTTTAGAACATTGTACCTTGTAATTATACAAACAATAGCTTATAATACCTTTTAATTATAAACTAAGTTACTCAAAAAGCACTGCCAAGAACAATAAAATATAAAACTTCAAAAATGCTTTTTGAAATGCCATACAATTTAGAAATTAGACAATGCTTTGTTGCATTGTCTAATTTTTGATTCTGATTCAATGCTTTGTTGCATTGTCTAATTTCTGAATCAAAATTATTGATTTGAAGTAATTTTATTATATGAAATAACTTCAAATCAATAATTTTCAACACAACAAAGAAATATTTTAAAATACTATTTCTGTATAACAAAGCCTTATTAAAGTTTGATTATAAATGTAGTCTGTCCTCAATCTCAGGCCCTTTACAAAAAAAGAAATCATGTAAAATATATAAAACAAAAATATGTAAAATATGTCTCAATAAAATATATAAAATCCCAACTTATAAAGATACCAACCTATTAAATAAAAGAAGTGAATTTCTATATGCAGAAATGAAAGCAGATTACTCCATTCTCAATAGTAGATACAAACCAGTATCTACTAGATCTTACTTGTTCTGTCTTACTTGTTTTTAAATAATAGTAGATACAAACCAGTATCTACTAGATCTAGATCCAATTAAATAGAAGTAGATACAAACCAGTATCTACTAGATCTAGATCCAATTAAATAGAAGTAGATACAAACCAGTATCTACTAGATCTAGATCCAATTAAATAGAAGTAGATACAAACCAGTATCTACTAGATCTAGATCCAATTAAATAGAAGTAGATACAAACCAGTATCTACTAGATCTAGATCCAATTAAATAGAAGTAGATACAAACCAGTATCTACTAGATCTAGATCCAATTAAATAGAAGTAGATACAAACCAGTATCCACTAGATCTAGATCCAATTAAATAGAAGTAGATACAAACCAGTATCTACTAGATCTAGATCCAATTAAATAGAAGTAGATACAAACCAGTATCTACTAGATCTAGATCCAATTAAATAGAAGTAGATACAAACCAGTATCTACTAGATCTAGATCCAATTAAATAGAAGTAGATACAAACCAGTATCCACTAGATCTAGATCCAATTAAATAGAAGTAGATACAAACCAGTATCTACTAGATCTAGATCCAATTAAATAGAAGTAGATACAAACCAGTATCTACTAGATCTAGATCCAATTAAATAGAAGTAGATACAAACCAGTATCCACTAGATCTAGATCCAATTAAATAGAAGTAGATACAAACCAGTATCTACTAGATCTAGATCCAATTAAATAGAAGTAGATACAAACCAGTATCTACTAGATCTAGATCCAATTAAATAGAAGTAGATACAAACCAGTATCCACTAGATCTAGATCCAATTAAATAGAAGTAGATACAAACCAGTATCCACTAGATCTAGATCCAATTAAATAGAAGTAGATACAAACCAGTATCTACTAGATCTAGATCCAATTAAATAGAAGTAGATACAAACCAGTATCCACTAGATCTAGATCCAATTAAATAGAAGTAGATACAAACCAGTATCTACTAGATCTAGATCCAATTAAATAGAAGTAGATACAAACCAGTATCTACTAGATCTAGATCCAATTAAATAGAAGTAGATACAAACCAGTATCCACTAGATCTAGATCCAATTAAATAGAAGTAGATACAAACCAGTATCCACTAGATCTAGATCCAATTAAATAGAAGTAGATACAAACCAGTATCTACTAGATCTAGATCCAATTAAATAGAAGTAGATACAAACCAGTATCCACTAGATCTAGATCCAATTAAATAGAAGTAGATACAAACCAGTATCTACTAGATCTAGATCCAATTAAATAGAAGTAGATACAAACCAGTATCTACTAGATCTAGATCCAATTAAATAGAAGTAGATACAAACCAGTATCCACTAGATCTAGATCCAATTAAATAGAAGTAGATACAAACCAGTATCTACTAGATCTAGATCCAATTAAATAGAAGTAGATACAAACCAGTATCTACTAGATCTAGATCCAATTAAATAGAAGTAGATACAAACCAGTATCCACTAGATCTAGATCCAATTAAATAAAAGTAGATACAAACCAGTATCCACTAGATCTAGATCCAATTAAATAGAAGTAGATACAAACCAGTATCTACTAGATCTAGATCCAATTAAATAGAAGTAGATACAAACCAGTATCTACTAGATCTAGATCCAATTAAATAGAAGTAGATACAAACCAGTATCCACTAGATCTAGATCCAATTAAATAGAAGTAGATACAAACCAGTATCCACTAGATCTAGATCCAATTAAATAGAAGTAGATACAAACCAGTATCTACTAGATCTAGATCCAATTAAATAGAAGTAGATACAAACCAGTATCTACTCGATCTAGATCCAATTAAATAGAAGTAGATACAAACCAGTATCCACTAGATCTAGATCCAATTAAATAGAAGTGGATCCTGAGATCATTTTAAATTATGATTTTACCTTTTTATTAAAATAATTGTTATAATAAAAAATATTAAAACAAAAAAAAGCAAAAATTCAAAACAAGTTAATAAAAGTTAATAGACAGACTTATGAGATATCAATAAAAATTTGACTAAAAACTATTAAAATGCACCTTTGTATAGCTCAGGAACATGCTGTGGTGCTTTATGACTCTTAAGATTGTAAAACAACTGCTGATAGACCCAGTCTCTTGGACGAAAGTACTAGTAAAGTTAATAGAATAGTATTAAAAAACATCTACTGATAAATCAGTTTTTTTAAACATTAGGACAAATTTATAGAAATTATAGGAAAAGTGTAAACAAAAAAATCTTTGCTGCATATTTACCTGAGGTACAACTTTCCTATACCAACTAATAACCTCGTCAGCATTTGGTGCATCTCTTGTCATGGCACATATATAGTTTCCGCTAAAAATATGTTAAGAAAACCTTGCTAAAGCATTTTTGGCAAAAATATTTTTCATAAAATTTAAAATTTATCAAAAATCTTCTATAGTTAACAATGATTTGGTTCAAAAGAGATTTCTGTTGAACCAATCAGAGTATTTTAGCATTAAATCTCCTGAAAAGACTTTTGTCTAATTAAATTAACAGGGTATGTAAAGAAGAATCTTAACACAATTTTGTAAAAAAAATTGCAAACAATATAACATATATTTTTCATAAATCAAATGAAATTATAAAAAACATGTGCAAAAAGGGGAAGGTAACCAAGTATATTAAATCTACTGTGAGTACATAAGCATGTGAAGTCAAACTCTTTTGTAGATTACATTTTGAAATTTAAAAACTTTTACATTCAATATTTCTAATTACTTTTTAAATCACTACTTCATAAATTTTAAAATTAGATCAATGCATAAAATTGAAAAATTATAATGACTCAACAAATAAATTTGGACAATAACTTAGATGATAACTTTATCAGCGCATAAATTGGGATAAAAATTTATTTTACTATAAAAATCAACTCACAAAAATTGGCTATCTTTTCCACCTGATAAAAATTCATAGTTATCATTTTTCATAAGTAGTTCAAATATTGGCTGTGCAAGATTTTTGTTTCTTTTATATCGTGCCTAAACGAATTAATTAATGACTGTAATTGTAATATATATTTTTTTTTAATTATGAAAATATTTCCTATAATAAAGTTATAAAAAATACTTTTTTCTTAAGGTATAATATTTACTTTTCAATATATAAATAATCATGTTTAATCACTATCATTTAAATCTAAAATCACATAATACTACAAGCTGAAAACACAGAAAAATTTAAGTAAATAATTTACAATGTATCTATCACAATAATATTATAAATATAATTAAAAATTTGTTCAAGCGCAAACATCATTCAAAAAATGCATTTTTTTATATTTTAAATAAAACTTTTAATAAATAATAACTTGACCACTAAAAAACAAAAGTATAAAAAACTGAATTTGACAAACAAAAATAATAATTTGAGTTTTACCATATCCATAGCAGCATTAAAGAAGTTCACTAAAGAGTAACATTAAAACAATAAAACAACAACAATAAAAAAAAAAAATTTAATAAAAATTTTTTAATAAAATTTTTTAATTAAAAAAGTTTTATAAGGTAAGTTTTATATTTTATGAAAACTTTAACAAAAAAACTATTAAATAAGCAAAAAAAAACAAAAGAGAAAAAATATCTTACGATCATCAGGATGTTGAAGCTCAAATTTTACTGATCCTTGACTTAGTTCATTTAAGACAGCTTCAAGAATTCTATTATCAGTAAAACCTTAATATGAAATAGTTAAGTTGGAATATTTAATCATCAACAAAACTTATGTAATAAAGCTGAATCAAATAACATTATATATATATATATATATATATATATATAATGTTATTTGATTCAGCTTTATTATTATTTGTATATATACAAATAACATTAAAATGTTTATCATAAGAAGAAAAAAATCATAACATTTATAAGCATTAATTGGTAAATACCTAAACGACTTTTTTCAGCAATAAGAATGTAGTAGTAACTAGCCAACGAAGGTTCTGAAATATTTTCAATAATTTAAATTTAATAAATTTTGTTTATACTGTTAGATAAACCTTATACATACATACATACATACATACATACATACATACATACATACATACATACATACTTACATACATACATCAACCCTCGGAATTAGGAGAAATGAGGTCGGCATATATATATACATACATATATACATACATATATATATATATATACATACATATATATATATATATATATATATATATATATATATATATATATATATATATATATATATATATATATATATATATATATATATATATATATATATATATATATAAACAATTTAAAATGTATTCTGCAAAATAGAGTGCTCAATGTTCTTATAAGAACAGAGCAATTACAGATTAGTAAAAAATCACTTATCAAAATTTTTTTATTTAACGCTGTGTTTCATCAATAAAAATTTCTGATGTGTCTTTATTGATGAAACAGTGTTAAATTAAAAAAAATTTTTGCTAAGTGATTTTCTACTAATTTATATTTATATATATATATATATATATATATATATATATATATATATATATATATATATATATATATATATATATATATATATAATATATATAATATATTATATATTATATATATATATATATTATATATATATATATAATATATATATAATATATTATATATATATTATATATATATATAATATTTATATATAATATATTATGTATATATATATATATATATATATATATATTTATATATATATATATATATATATATATATATATATATATATATATATATAATATATATATATATATAATATATATAATTTATATAAATATATATTATATATATATATATATATATATATGGGTAGCTCATAAAACAAAACTTTTTGAAAATGTAATAAATTAATACTAAATTTAAAAAATTTCTAAAGAAATTTTTTTTTTTAATTTAGTAATAATTAGCATATCATGTTGGGTCTCAAAAGAAGTGAAATTTTATAAAAATTTTAAAAATAATAATCATTTTATATAAAGATTACTAGTTTAAATTTAATGGCTGCAAAACTATTATTTTTTAACAAAAAATAAAAATGTACATATTTTCAAAGTTTTTTTAAACAAACTTTTTAAATTTGTGTTTCCATAATTTTTTTTTATTATTTTTTGAAATTTTTGTAAAATTTCACTTCTTTTGAGAACCAACATGATATGCTTTTAAAGAACTTTTTTTTTTAAATATTAGGGACCTGTCTGATGTATATAAAATATTATATCAATAATTTTATACATAAAACTGATAAACAGTGACTAATAGTAGATTAAAGTAAAAATATTCTCATAATGAAAAAACTAAACATATTTACAAACCAATTTTTAACTTCTTCATTTCCAGGAACACCTTTATTGTTAGCATACTTGGATTATCCATTTTAGTTGACAAAGATAAGAGTGCATTAAAAGTGTCTGCAAAAGTTTTAAGTAAAATTAAAATAGTATTATATAGTATATTTATTTCTTATACTATAGTACTTTAAACACAATAAAAATAAAAACATTGTTCAAAAATCTTTTTTAGAATAAACTTTCCTTTTGTAATGCATTCATAAAAGCAAAAATAACTTTTTCTATCTATTAAAATAATTTTTATTTAGAAACAAAATTATCTATTTTGCTATAAAAAACTAATTTATTAAAAACTCATAGAAAAAAGACAATAAAATCATACTTTTAATAGTATGTTAAATGGTATATAAAATCTTAAAAGCACATACAGATTAAATAACACACAATCAGGGTTGCAAAAAAAATGTTTTTTTTAAAAAAACAAAAAAACCATGGTTTTTTTGGTTTAAATTAGGTTTTTACTAAAAAATGCAGTATTTAGTTATCCTTTTAAATTAAAAAAAGTATAACGTATTTTATTTGAGTAAACTAAATTCTTTATCAATATTATTGTTATATTTCATCAAAATTATTTAATATATCATTGTTTAATGTTCTATACATAAATACAAGCTTTGCTGCTTTTTCTACCCCCGATTGGTTTCTTAACTAAGAATGAACAAAAAAAGTTGAAAAAATTCTTTTGATTCCAGCACTAGAAGCTGGTGCATTTAATTAACCTTCAATTTCCATTATGTTATAGTAGATTTGGGTTTTAATTTGAGTAATTTTGGTAACAAATTCTTGAACTCTTTATCTGCGAAATTCATTGCAGCTTTATTTTAATTTTCAGAAAGATTAACACCAAAATATCTAGGATCTAGTGTGTTTGCCAGGAAACGAGCATCACTGACAGTCTGAAGGTATCTAGATTCAATTTTTTTTTTTTTTTTTTGTTGATAAAAATAATAAACTGTTCATCAAGTCTTTAAAAATTTCAAGAGTCACTTATTTTTGTTTGATCTCTTTGCAACTTATCTAGAGCAACTGCAATTGGTTTCAATATTTTCAATAAATCTTCTGTGTTTCGCTTTATCTCTATATCACTTACTTTTTTACCAATCATGGGATCCAAGTTTTTATTTTTTTCAAAGATTGTAAAAATAATGCTCCAGTTGTTGACATATTTTTCAAGTGAATCACATACAGAATTCTAGCAAGTTTCAGAAGGAAGTGGCAATTTTGTTCCTCCGCTTAATTTATAAATTGCTCCAGTTTAATGATTATTTCTTATATATTTTATTATTTGTGTAACATGCTTGTTCACATTTTCATTGTTAAGATCATTTGCTAAAAAATTCAGCATATGAGCAGCACACCCATAAGTTATGATAATATCTCTTTCAGATGAGAATACTTTTCTCATTGGTTTCACATTAGCTGCATTGTCAGTCACAAAGCTTTTTACTGTGCATCCAAATTTACATCTTACAAAATCTATTGCTTCTCTTGCTAATTGTGTAAGATATTCACCAGTATGTGAATGACCAGAAGTGTTGATTGTTTCTACTAAAATGTTAATTTTATCTGTAACTACAGAGATACAAACTATAGGTTCAATATGTACATTACTCCAGCCATCTAAAGACATGACTACAATTTTCCCATTCAATACATTACATTTTTCAATTTCTTCTGTGCAAGCCCTATCTAATAATTCTCCTCTAATTTCAGTTCTATTAGATAGAGTGTATCCTGGATGAAGCATATTGATAAATTTTTTAAAAAAACAAAAACAAAAATCATGGATTTGAAAAAATATATCTATATTGAAGATTTGTCATATTTGTGAGCATTACCCTTTCTTAGTTTCCTGTTGTAAGTTCAAATCTTTTTAAAAAAAACATTAGTTTGGTTTAAACCAGCATTTTTTTAATTGGTTTAAACCATGGTTTAAACCAATGGTTTAAACCATTTGGTTAAAACCATGCAACCCTGCACGCAATAAAAGTTTTTTATTCTTATGCCATTTAAACATGCTTGTTTTTGAAGAAAATGTTAAGTTTGACATCATTAAAAGCAAAACACACCAGTAAATTTTACTTTATGAGTTTTTATACTATTTATTTATATAAATTTCATTTATTTTGAGATCTATATTTTAGTAACTGTTTAAAAAATAATTTATTTAGAATTAACATTAATTATATTCATTCAAAATCATTCAAATATAAAATTTATTATATATTTGTAATTAAATAACTATTTACTTTGTTTATTTAATGATATTAAAATGTTTCACCGGATGTCTAAACTAATTGATTATTTACTTAAAGCGCAAGAAAATAATTTATTTTTATATTTTTTTATATTATATTTTATTTTTTTATTATTATAATTACCCACTTAGTAATATATTACAGCATTACGGAGTTAAGGAATCATTGACTGGCTATATATTAGATTGTCTAAACTTTTTTTTTTTGCAACAATTTTTTTTATATTTTCAGATTAATCATCAATTATCAGTCCTGTTGAATGTTAAATTCTATAGAGGAGCAATTTTTTGAAAAATGTGGCAGTTTTAAATACCAAATAAATATTGTCCTTGAAACAAAGAACAATTGGTACAAAAATGGGGTCAATTGTACCAAACAACAGGCAAGCTTATCTTGGTTTGTATTTCTAAACTCTAAATGTCTGCTATGTATTGTGCTAAACTCTAAATGTCTACTATGGTTTGTATTTCTAAACTCTAAATGTCTGCAAAATACAGGCATTATAAAGATGAATTACAATACAACATTTGCTGTTATTGTAATGAAACGTTTCAAAAATATATTTTTTTTTAGTTTGTTATTGTATTATAAAGATGAATTACAATACAATATTTATTGTTATAGTATTACAATAATTGTAAATTATAGATATTGTTATTGCTTCTAATTAATTTAATACAATAACAATAGTTAATGTTACAGTTTTCATTACAATTACAATATTCCAAACCCTATTCAGAACAGACACAAAAATGTTTTATTTTTATAATTTGTTGTTGTTATAATTGTTTTTATAATACCAAGCTCATTTTTTTAACCTAAATGTATTGAAATTATAATTATTTGCCTTTAACCTACAAGTGTAACCTTGTAAATTTGTTGTAATTTTTTTCAAAATAAAAATATATAATAATATATACTTTAGAAATAAGAGAATAAAGAAAAAGTTAGTTAGAATAGGTCAGTATAAATAAGATTCTGGTAGTGTTCAACATTCTTGGTAGAGTTGTTATGATAAGTTGTAAGCTTGTTATGATAGTGTTATGCAAAATGTTCAGATATATAAATATATACATCTTTTTTAGCAAATTTCTTTAAGTTTTCTTAAAACTCAAATTAGTTGCATGGATAAGGGCACTGATGAGACAGTTAATCAATACAACTTAAACAATGCTTGGCAAACTATATATATTTTGAATATTTTGTGCACTGACAAAAGAACTTATTTAGTTTATAGTGTCCAATTTCACAGACTAATGCAACTTCAATCTCTAGGAAATGGCATGATTTTAATAAATGTTGAATAAGTCAGAGAGCTTATCATTCTTTCTATTAATGATCTAGAAAATAGAAAAACAATATAACTCACAGATTCCATTTAGAATCTAAATAAACTTTTAATTGTTTAGCTGAAATAAATTTTCACTTCCTCATGTTCAAAACATTTCTTTTTTCTTTTTCTTTTTTTTTATCTAAATTATAAATGTTTTGATTTATATAATTGTTGAAAAAAAAAAAATATAGATTGCTGAAGTTTTATTGAAATGTTGAGAATAACAATGTCTACTATGGTTTGTATTTCTATTATAAATATGAGAATAACAAGTAGTACCAATCAACACATTTTATAAAAAAAATCCTGAAGTTAAAATTTAAAATTAGTTCTCCTAGAGAACTTATTGGAAACCTGTTTTTTTGACGCATTTGTCTTGTTTTCTTATTTTAGCTTAAGTGATACCAATCAACACATTTTATTAAAAAAATCCTGAAGTTAAAATTTAAAATTAGTTCTCCTAGAAAACTTATTGGAAACCTGTTTTTTTGACGCATTTGTCTTGTTTTCTTATTTTAGCTTAAGTGATACCAATCAACACATTTTATTAAAAAAATCCTGAAGTTAAAATTTAAAATTAGTTCTCCTAGAGAAATTATTGGAAACCTGTTTTTTTGACGCATTTGTCTTGTTTTCTTATTTTAGCTTAAGTGATACCAATCAACACATTTTATTAAAAAAATCCTGAAGTTAAAATTTAAAATTAGTTCTCCTAGAAAACTTATTGGAAACCTGTTTTTTTGACGCATTTGTCTTGTTTTCTTATTTTAGCTTAAGTGATACCAATCAACACATTTTATTAAAAAAATCCTGAAGTTAAAATTTAAAATTAGTTCTCCTAGAAAACTTATTGGAAACCTGTTTTTTTGACGCATTTGTCTTGTTTTCTTATTTTAGCTTAAGTGATACCAATCAACACATTTTATAAAAAAAAATCCTGAAGTTAAAATTTAAAATTAGTTCTCCTAGAGAACTTATTGGAAACCTGTTTTTTTGACGCATTTGTCTTGTTTTCTTATTTTAGCTTAAGTGATACCAATCAACACATTTTATTAAAAAAATCCTGAAGTTAAAATTTAAAATTAGTTCTCCTAGAGAAATTATTGGAAACCTGTTTTTTTGACGCATTTGTCTTGTTTTCTTATTTTAGCTTAAGTGATACCAATCAACACATTTTATTAAAAAAATCCTGAAGTTAAAATTTAAAATTAGTTCTCCTAGAAAACTTATTGGAAACCTGTTTTTTTGACGCATTTGTCTTGTTTTCTTATTTTAGCTTAAGTGATACCAATCAACACATTTTATTAAAAAAATCCTGAAGTTAAAATTTAAAATTAGTTCTCCTAGAAAACTTATTGGAAACCTGTTTTTTTGACGCATTTGTCTTGTTTTCTTATTTTAGCTTAAGTGATACCAATCAACACATTTTATAAAAAAAAATCCTGAAGTTAAAATTTAAAATTAGTTCTCCTAGAGAACTTATTGGAAACCTGTTTTTTTGACGCATTTGTCTTGTTTTCTTATTTTAGCTTAAGTGATACCAATCAACACATTTTATTAAAAAAAATACTGAAGTTAAAATTTAAAATTAGTTCTCCTAGAGAACTTATTGGAAACCTGTTTTTTTGACGCATTTGTCTTGTTTTCTTATTTTAGCTTAAGTGATACCAATCAACACATTTTATTAAAAAAAATCCTGAAGTTAAAATTTAAAATTAGTTCTCCTAGAGAACTTATTGGAAACCTGTTTTTTTGACGCATTTGTCTTGTTTTCTTATTTTAGCTTAAGTGATACCAATCAACACATTTTATTAAAAAAATCCTGAAGTTAAAATTTAAAATTAGTTCTCCTAGAAAACTTATTGGAAACCTGTTTTTTTGACGCATTTGTCTTGTTTTCTTATTTTAGCTTAAGTGATACCAATCAACACATTTTATTAAAAAAATCCTGAAGTTAAAATTTAAAATTAGTTCTCCTAGAAAACTTATTGGAAACCTGTTTTTTTGACGCATTTGTCTTGTTTTCTTATTTTAGCTTAAGTGATACCAATCAACACATTTTATAAAAAAAATCCTGAAGTTAAAATTTGAATAATTTTATACAACATGTAGTTTCTATAGTTAGGTGGAGTTTAAATAGGAACATTTATATTAGGGAATGCAATACCAGTAAATCAAATTGCGCACCATCAAACACAAAAACTACCCTTTTAAATAGAAATAAAATTAACCAATTAAAACTACAACAATGAACACATCTATGAGTTTGGACAATACATCAACAATTTTAAAATCAGATGATTTGTTTGATCTAGTTGTTGCACGATCAACAGCTAAAGATGGTTTACTATTTGTTTACTGTTATGTTCGTAATTTGTTTTATAGAACTTATGATTTAAGAATATTTTTAAGTTCGTAGGCACTAAGGGTTAATTCTAAAGACTGCAAATACCATCTAAAAAATTGTGAAAGAGTATGCAGTGAAAATGAATCAGAAAGTCTTATCTGACTTAAAAATGGGAATTAATCGTAGTGAAGGGTTAAGCATCACATTAGATGAGTGAAAACCTGAACAAAATTGTTGTTATAAGAATGTAAATATACATGTATTTAACAAATATTTGGAATTTTGTTTTTGGAGGAATTCACAGATTAATGCCAGCTAATAAATGTATTGCTTATTAGAAGAAAAAATGGTAAAATTTATTTTATTTAGTGTTTTAGTGGACAATGCTGTTTCAATTATGACAGATGGATTAATGGCAATGATGAAATTTGGATAGTTAATTAGTGAAAATTATCAATAGCGTTTAGTGCACGCCATTCAATTGACAATTATTTATCTGTAACCCAGTAATTGATTTTTTTACCGAATTAGCAGTATTGGAAAAATTAGTTAATTTTGCAATCCCTTATTTGTATAAACAGTTTTTGTAGTAAGATATTTTTTTAACTGTTATTACAATCTTCTCAACATTTACACTTTAAAATAAACAAACAATTTTTTTTTATTAAAGGCTACACCTTTAGTAAAAAAAATCAATTAAGATAAATAATGGTAATACAAAATATAGTAAATATAAATAAAATTGTGAATTATTGAGCAGATTCATAGAGCAGAATCCTTTAAACCTAAACTTTTCACAAACTTAAAAAAAAGGCTTAACTATTAATAGTTCGATAAATTGGTTCATTTTAATTCAACTCTTTCGCTACCACTAAAATCTTTTTGCTGCAAATTTTTTTGAATAACATTTGGATGGCATAATATTTACAACTAATTAAAATTTGAATAGTAAATCTTCTTAAAAGCACAACAAACTATATATCAATAGAAAGGTAAACAAACGAAATTTTCATTTAAACAAGGTTTTAACACACATCACTGAACAATAAAAAGTGTTTAAAGCCATTGTTTTTATAAATAGTAACTGAAACATTAAGTCCAAAACAAAACTCATTTAATGTATAAAAAAAATGTTTTTCTTCAAAAGACTTTTTTAATTACTTAGCTTTGTATTACTATGCTAAATACTTATACACTTCTACAAGTAACAGTGTTAACGCTGCTTTATTTCAGAACTAAATTTAAAGAAGCTTTTTTTATGAAGGATTTTTTAACTTTGTCAAGTGATAACTAATTATAATTACACATTATGACTCTTATTTGTTCTTCAAAAGCCACTACCAGCGGCTTGCAGCCAAAATTTAAAAAAATCAAAAGCCACTATCAGTGGTTTGCGCTAGTGAATGAGTTAATAATGATGCAA